CGTGGTTAAAAAGACTTATTGAGATTATTCAGACAGATGTTGTGATTGCAGGATGATTTATGATTCATGGGAATGATGAAAGAAATCTGAGACTAGTGGTTTAAAACTCATGGTTACAGTTAAAAATCATGCATACGCATTTCAGCCACCTGTTGGCAAGTAGTCACATGATCAGCATGGATAAGTAATGGTTAATGTAGAGAGGTAAGTCACATGACATGACCCATGTTAAGCAGAGGAAACAGTAAAAGCCCCGTACAGTGTCAGGATACAACAGCAACAGACAGAATAGTGAACTAAATACATCTTTAAACCTGTTTACATTGAACCTTTCAGTGCATCCAGACAACAAGGCAAATCAATTATATAAAATTAAAATCCTGATGGAGTGAACTTTGTTGGAGAGCTGGAGAACAAGTTGTCAGCCAGGGAATCTCTTTGTAATGATGCTTCTGTTCAATGGTGGATATCTTAGGACACGTCAGTCTTAGAGAGGATGAGGGTAGTGGTAACATGAACCCCCCAAACTCCCCTCACTGCCCACACACACATATCTGTGAATGTGTTGTCACTGCTGCACTTTTCTTCTATGATCCCTTTGCAGTCCACAGTTTTTCAGAATAAATATTAAAGAATTCACGGTAGAAAAAAAGGGCAGCTTTCTGTCTGAGTGCCATGTGGTTTCTGAAATAGCAGCACAGCATCAGCTGATCTCACAAACATAAACACCTTCCACTCAGCCGAGCCGAGATCCAACTAACACGGTTCAACAGCACGAAGCTGGAGATCCTCTTTGCTACTTCCTGATCTGCTGCCAGAACTAGCATGAAAAAGTCATCACTATGTATCCGCCATTCACACCACTGACATTTATCCAAACTCAAAAGGTGACAGATGTCTTCTGACAGCTCAGATAAAACAGAGACTCATTATCAGTTAGTACGTTGTGTATTTTGAATGTCTGTAAGTCATCAAACATACATATGCACAAAAAACCACCTGATCAGACGCACTGAAGCCCACCTCACATTCAGGACTACTCACAGACATACAGGAGTGTGCTGGTCCACAACAGCCTAAAACTGCACCCCCATTTTTCCCCGCTTGCTCCCAGCGGCCAGCATCAAACGTCTTTGGCGATCTGTGGCGGCTGCCGTCCGTCCCGGCGAGCAACAGCAGACGTCTGAGCGCCTTCAGCCGAGTCCTCAGCGCCCTGACGAGGCCGGCTGCGGCGCTCACACACGCCGGCTTGGCCTCCGGCGCGCAGCGTGTCATCACTAAGTGAACTGAGAAGCCTGTCTGGAGCAACACTGAGGCAGCGAATGACTTGGACCGGGACAGGCAAACAAGTATGTGAGTCAGTGTGAGGGGATACCCAGAGG